TCCACTACGATTGTGTCGGGGTGAATAGTAACGTGGCCAACATAAGTTGGAATTGTAAATCTTGCGAATCCGCGCAGACAAATCACGTTGAAAAGAGCACTATCGCTCCCCCGACATCTAATGGTGAAATATCTACGGTAACGACCGGGCAACCACAAGCAGCATCGTCGCCAAATACGGACGTACAGAATAATAATTCTGCAGCATTCGGTACACATGGTCAACAACCAATAGGTTCAATTACAACAGCAAGCAATATCATCGTATCAACGGCAACGATAATGACTCCTGCCGTTATCACCTCCAATGCGCATCGCGCGAACCCACCAATGATATATTCAACCGCAATGTTCCCACCTGCCAAGCAACTCCCGGGTCTAGAACGGCAAGCTATGCAACAACCTCTACTTCCACCGATAACTGGCGCTCAATGTGGGGCGCGACTTGATGCAACTCAAGGTTACGACAGCGTAGCCCAACAGCAGGTACTACAATTGGAACTCTTGGAAGAAGAGCGAAAAATAGAGCAAAGGTATCTACAAAAAAAGTACGAAATACTAAGCGCAGGCGGTTCGTCTATCGGAATCAACCGCACAACTACAGCTCCGACTTCTTCGCAGCTTGCCGCTAGACAAGTAATTCCAAAGGATTTGCCTACCTTCAGCGGAAATCCGGATGACTGGCCGCTGTTCATAAGTAACTACGAAAACAGCACGCAAGTAGCGGGGTACACCGACGCCGAAAACCTAATGCGGCTGCAGAAGTGTCTCAAGGGAAAGGCCTATGAGACGGTACGCTGCAAATTATTGCTCCCCTCTATGGTCCCGGAAATAATTCAGACACTTAAGATGTGTTTTGGACGTCCAGAGCATATACTAGAATCGTTGGTGGAGAAAGCCAGGGCGATTCCACCGCTGAAGGAAAAACTGGAAAGTCTTATCGACTTCGCGTTGTGCGTGCAAAACATCTGCTCTACGATGGAAGCCTGCCATATGGAGGCGCATCTGAATAATCCAATGTTGGTGAAGGAATTCGTTGACAAGCTTCCAAGCCAACACAAGTTAAATTGGGCAATGTTACAGCGAGACGAGCGAGTAGCAATTATTAAAGCGTTTAGTGATTGGATTTTCCAAATAGCCGAAGCAGCAAGTAAGGTGATCACACCACGTGTATCCAAAAAGAGTGGCGTAATTAACGCACACACGCAAGCAACTGGTGTCGAAAACCATAACAAAGTTGGGTGTGTTTTATGCGGGTGCACCGATCATAAAATGCAGACGTGTGTAGAATTTAGTAAACTCACCTTGGAGCGCAAGTGGGATGTAGTAAAATCCAATAAATTGTGCAGACAATGCCTTAACATGCACCGCCGAAAGTGTTATGCGAACAGGGAGTGTGGAGTCGATGGTTGCCAATCAAAGCACCACAAGCTTCTTCATAAAAACACTCCGAAGAGCGTATCTACGTATGCTGAGCAAAAGCAAAATACCACACCACCTCTAATAAATAATCAACTGGTAAACACTCATGTAGGTAATGATGAAGATGCACCATGTTTTCGTATAATACCCGTTCGCATACACTCCAAGGGTAAATCCATAAAAACCTTCGCCTTTTTAGACGAGAGATCATCCGTGACATTGATGGAAAAACACATTTATGATTCCTTGGGCTTGGACGGCGAGCTAGAATCACTGTGCCTTCGCTGGACCGGCGAAAACACACGGATCGAAAGCGACTCAATGCGAACGTCGATACAGATTTCAAACGCATACGATAATGCAAAATACGAAATAAATGAAGTGCACACCGTTTCGCGACTGGGCTTGCCTAGCCAGTCTCTTAATATGGAGAAAATTACGAAGAAATACCCTTATCTACGCGGGCTTCCGATCGAGTCATATGAAAATGCCGAGCCGGGTATTCTAATAGGAGCCAATTGTTGGAAACTTGCGGTGCCTATCAAAACTCGTGAGGGACACTGGCTTGAGCCGATCGCCACTAAGTGTCACTTAGGTTGGACCTTGCAGGGAGGTACTACTAACCACTTTGACTCACAACTATTGAATATTCACATATGTGACTGCGAAAAGAAATACGAAATCCTACACGAAGAGATCAAGGAGTACTTCAGCCTAGAGATGCCGCAAAAAAGAGAGCTCATGTCCCCACAAGACTGTAGAGCGCTGCAAATTCTAAATTCAACGTGTGAAAAAAGAGAGGGCCGCTATGAAGTGGGGTTGTTGTGGAAGCATGACGACGCAAAGTTACCAGCTAGTTACGACAACGCCCTTAAACGCTTCAGATGTATGCAGAAAAAGTTAGCTAAGGACTCCAATTTGCAACGTGACATGCAGAAGCAAATAGATAACTTAATTAGCAAAGGTTACGCAAAAAGGTTAACTGCAGACGAAGTAAATAGATCATACGACCACGAGTGGTACCTGCCGATATTTATCACACTAAACCCCAACAAACCCGGCAAGTTGCGCCTTGTGTGGGACGCTGCGGCCAAATCTGATGGAGCCGCTCTTAACGATTTCCTTCTGTGCGGGCCAGATCTACTCAATTCGCTAGTCTTCGTATTACTGGCCTTTAGAACTGGGCAGTTTGCTATTTGTGGAGACATTGCCGAAATGTTCCACCAGATTCGCGTAAGAGAAATGGACATGCACGCTCAGAGGTTCTTGTGGCACGAGAACTGTGAGGAGTTACATAACCCTCACATCTACGTTATGCAAGCGCTTACCTTCGGCATCAGCTGCGCACCTTGCATTGCTCACTTTGTTCGAGATGTAAATGCAGAGCAATACAAGCAAACATCACCGCGAGCGGTAGAAGCAATACAAAAGCATCATTACGTCGATGACTTCATCGACAGCGTCGATACCGAAGAAGAAGCACTGGAACTGGCTCTGCAAGTGAAAGCAATTCACGCTCAAGCTGGATTCAACATTCGTAACTGGGCATCTAAGATCAAACTCCTAAGGACTTAAGCAATGCAGAAAAAATATTAGGTTTGTTTTGGGATCCAACTAACGATGTTTTTAAGTTTATTTGCAGGTTCTCCAAAATGAGACGAGACATCTTGCAATGTAGCTTGGTCCCAACCAAAAGGGAAGTACTCCAGGTGTTGATGTCCATCTTCGACCCTCTCGGGTTTGTGGCACATTACACCATAGGTCTTAAAATACTACTGCAGGATGTATGGCGATCGGCCATTAACTGGGATGACCCACTCCCAGGTCCGCTTTACAACAAGTGGTGCCAGTGGAAGACGTTGTTGCCAGCAATAACCTCTATTACGATTCCGCGATGTTATTCACAACTTCTAAAAGACTCCGAATCCAACCAAATCCACACCTTCGTAGATGCCGGCGAGTATGCTTACGCGGCAATTTGCTATTTGCGAGTGAAAAACAAAAACGAAGTCAACACTATCATCGTGGCCGCTAAGTCAAAAGTAGCACCGCTAAAGCCCGTATCTATCCCGAGGCTCGAACTACAAGCTGCAGTGACTGGCGTAAGATTGGCGAACAATGTGATGAAGGCACTACAAGTTCCGATTCATGCTCGATTCTGGTGGTCAGACTCAAAGACCGTGCTCAAATGGCTCCGCACAGTATGTAATGCATCGCGTGGGCGAGGTATTGGAGGCGACCAACGCCACTGACTGGAATTGGGTTCCCTCAAAACTTAACCCTGCTGACTTGGCAACGAAATTCAGACGAAACGCTCAAAAGCGCCTTATGTGAAGTAGAGCTTACAATCAATTCTCGATCACTCACATTTGTATCTCTCGACAGCGCAGACGACGATGCGCTCACACCAAACCACCTGCTCCTCGGATCTACCGACGGACACAAATCAGTCTTCAACGAGGCATCAAACCTACGACAGCAGTGGCACAAGACACAAGACTTCGCTAACAAGTTCTGGCAACGTTGGCTACAGGAATATATTCCAATCATTCAACGTAGAGCCAAATGGTTCAGCAAGCGGGCATCAGTCGCAATCGGAGACGTCGTTGTTGTTGTTGATGAGACTCTGCCGCGAAATTATTGGCCGAAGGGTATCATCGTTGATGTCGTAAAAGCAAAAGATGAACAGGTGTAAACGAGTATACCCAGCGGCAACATTCCCCCCCTAGCAAAGG